CTGCTATACCTCCAGGCGGTCAAGAATGACGACGCCAAACAGGCCTTCAAACACTATCGAGGAGCCTTTCGGTGAGAGCATAAGAGAAGATGTCATCATCGCATCGCATCGCACCGATCACCGAGTGTTTGGGTGTAGATTTAGCACAGCTTCGCCAAACGAAGAGAAAGAGACAAGGTTGACTCGAGCCCTTTATCGATCACACGCGATTAATGTGTTCAGAGTGACACTGACACACAATGCGGCTCTTCAAGGGGTGGCGCCGCACAAAATGGTCCCCGGTACGCCTAACAACAATATCCTCGTCTCTTTCGCCTTTTGTCCTAATCGCAGCTTTGCAGCGCGACCGTGCGGCAGTAAAATATGAAGNATTACGCTGAAAGGAAGGGTGATGGGTGAAGACTGTGCACAGCATACCAAGGGCACGAAGCTGGAAAAGACGTTCACCTGTATATGGTACTGCTGTAGTGTAGAGGCTTTAGCAGCACCTTCAATAGCACAGCGTGTCGTTGGCAGTATTACAGAAGACAAGAACATTCTTGCAGTTCACGATGTGCATGCCATGCATGTGATGTTCGAAAACTCAAAGCACAAACGAAGTTATTTTAGATAAAAATGTTGTGGCATTCAACAACAATAAAAAACAAACCCTGTTGAATTTCCTTCCTACAGCAGCAGACCTACCTGTACTTTTGCAACCTTGCCTCAGACTATGCATTGTGCCGACCAACAAAGAATTCCACGAAAAGGTCACGCTCTCACGCTCTATACCGACTAACTTCTGACTAACTTCCAGGAATCATTCCACTCAAATGCTTGTGGTTTCCATGAAATGTGCGTAGTGGTATGACATTTAAAACTTGATCTATTCATGTATATCTACCGTTCAACTGTGAAAGTCAGGCAGGGGTATTATGTTTTTGTAGTGGCACATCGCACAACAAACGTACGTAAACTATCATTCACCTGTATACGGTAGAGTGTTTAGGCTACGGCAGCATCTTCAATACTGTACCGCGTCGTTGACAGTATTACAGAAGACAAACAAACTTGCAGTTTTCCGTGAGATGTGCATGCATGTTCGAGAACTCAAAGCACCAACCAGCGTTGGCGTACCACAACAATTAAATTAGCTAACCCTGTTTAATTCCTTCCTACAGCAGCAGTAGACCTGTACTTGCCACTTGGAGGGGGTGTGTGTATATCAGGCATATATACGTTGCCGTGTGCACGTACGTGAAGATACGCGATGCACGTGAGGACTTCGAAGTAATTTCTTCAGTTAGCGTTGCTTACGCTAGAGAAGGTGACGACAGCAGTCTGTCGATATCTAGTTGACACCACGCGGCACAATTACAATAAAATCCTCCGTCCGTGCTACATGTAACAACAACGTGCGTGGTGGTCGGTCATGGTTCATGAGTTGACGTTCTCCCAAACCTCGTCTAATGAGCTTCGCGATTCTTTGAGGTGACAGTCCCTACCGTAGACGCGCCCGTATGCAGGAGATTTAGTCGTACTTCGCGATGCTGTAACTCGGCTCGCCCTTGGATTCTAGAGCTCGCGACAGGGGCGCTGTGATCGTGAGAGTGGCACGCCCACGTCGGCGAAGACGGCCGAAAAAAAATGTTCAAACCCCATCCAAAAACAATTAAAACCGATTCACCGCACCGCAACGTCTAGCTCAATGACTGGAATAGTGGTTGCGTGCATTCATTCACCGTGCTGTAATTCTACTCGCCCTTTCGAGCTCGCCACAGGGGGCTTGTGATCCAGACTGGCCCGCTGCAGCGGGCAACAGCCCGCGAAAAAAAAGTATCGAGGCGACCGCGAACTGATGCACCGATAAAACGTCTTGCTTTTAGAGTGCAACAATGGTTGAACTCTTGCGTCTCAGGCTTCCGACATAGTTGTAGTTGAGTCTATGCTAGCAGCGGGAGCCGTGTGCTTGCTCTGACTGACGCTGCCGTCGACGGCGACGCGCCGAACGCGCTTGTTTAAGTATGCAGCACCTGTGACAAAAGACTGTTGGCCTCGTAGGGTTGTGTGCTACATGCGTAGTACCACTTGGATGTAGTGAACATGATTATTTTCGTCCTTGGAAGTAGGGAAGTATTTGAACTTGAATCAGCGGCGATAGTTATGTCAACACTCTGGATTTAGTGACGTGCAGATAAACTCTGTCGTGAACGGTTCAGCATGTACGTATCGTGCCTGCGTGCGATTGGGTTCGTGAGCATTCATTCTTTCATTTCCATCGAAACGTCAACGTTTGTGGATGTGAGCAAGCACGTGCTACATGTAGGTCCTCGTCGTGGTCCCGTCTTGCAAGGGGTTTCTATTGTCCATTAGCCACTGCCTAACTGTTGCTCGCCATATCGTGCGTAAACTTTATCCCTCCTGATGGCTGGCTCCCTCATGTGTCCTTGCGTTGTGTTGCACCGGGCGTGGCTGTCTGCTTGCCACCCGTTTCAACACGGACGAACACGCGAACAATAAAAATCAAGCGTGTTTGTCGAAGACAACTCGCTCCTGGGATTTCGCGGAGGGAAGTCGGGCTGGCTTCTGCCGACGTTGGCGACAATGAGCCGCGGGGTTAGGCTTCTCGCCAATGAGGTACATAGCATTGGCATTGGGGGGCCCTGAATAAGGGGGGGGTGGAAACTGATCATTGCATCATGCCCATGAGAAGAGACTAGGAAAATCTGTCTTGTGTCAGCCATTTTTTCAACCGCCTTGAATTGGGCGGCCGTCTTGTTCAGACCGCCTTCCGCAGACCGCCCTATTCGGGAATGCACGGCGGTAGCGGCACAAAGTTGGTTACATGTAGCGGCTTCACTTTGGCTACTTGCACAGCAAGATATACTATGGTATTGGCGATTGAAGGCCATTGTCGACCACAGCACGATCACACAACGCTGCTTGCCAACGCGCGATTGTCGTCGACATGCCCGATGTGCTGCCATGTTCTATGTGCGCGTGCAATTGGGCGGGTGGTCAACGTTAACGTTAACGTTAACTTGGCGGAAGGAAGACGGATCTGGACGACGAGAACGCTCAGGCAGACGTTATCGGCCTCCTCCACACAGTAAGTGCCGTGCCCTTTTCAAGAAGAAAACGGTGTTCCGACGAGTTTACGGCGGACCTCATGAAAAAAGCAAACAGAGAGACACGCAGAAAGAGAGACTGTGGGGGGGGAAGAGAGAGAGTGATAGAGAGAGAGAGCAAAGGCAAAGAGAGAGAAGGGGGGGAGGGAGAGCGACAGAGAAAGAGAGAAAGAAACGCTGGTGGTACGCGGTGGGAGGAGTGTTTGCATAGGTACCTGCCTGAGTGTTGAGTGCATGCTGTAGCACATCGCCTCTAACGCGAGTTAGTTCACCTACCGGGCTGCATCTTTGGGGTGAATTTTGTCGTACCCGTCCACCGCTATCCCGTAATGCTCGACAAGCCTACCGCAAGCACCGCGAAAATGGCGCATTTTTTTTCCAGGTTGTTGTTATTGTTGTATCGAGCTGGTGGGGACACATGTGGTCTGCCTGCCTTCCTACGACGCAGTGAAAAAGCACGGCTTGATTGATTGGCAAACCCACAAACCAATTTACAAGGCGGACTTCCAAGGCTCGTCTCAAATGTGTCTAGTCCATACGGCTCCAGTTGGTGTAGCACCTGTAAACTAAACGTCCTCTGCAAACTCGGCTTCTTCTATTTTTCGGGTGTAGCTTTTCTGTGGGTGAGTGAGTGAGTGGGCGTTCCGCCGTGACGAGCTAAACGTTCACGGTAGCACCGCACGACATGCTGTGCAGAGATTGCACGGTTGTCGCCAGCGTTTCGATGCAGACGACGGTTTCATGACAGAGTTGGTTCCGGTGAATGTACATGTTAGTGTTCGTGCTATTATAGTGTTAGTGCTCGTGCTATTATTGTTAGTGTTAGTGTTCGTGCTATTATTGTTAGTGTTAGTGCTAGTGCTATCATTGCTAGTGTTAGTGTTGTGCGTTGTCCCGAAGGCACTTATCAGGCGATATTGTACGTAAGGTTTGAGGGAGAAGCGGTCGATGGATGGTCACGGTTTCTGTGGGGATAACGTTCGTGTTTACCCGGCATTTCGCTCATTTTACTCGGCGCAATAGTTTTTCAACCATCCCAGCGTCAGTCAGCACTCTAGCCCACCGCGCGCCTCGCTTCGGAACCACGGGATGTGTTATATAATGTTTCCACCTCTGCAGATGCTTTTGTTCTTAGCACTAGCTGGCATCACTGATACAATTCAGTGTATCATGTATAAGCTTAAAATCTCAAAATAAGCCCAGTTTCCAGCCGGTTTCCCTCCACTCACTGGAAAGACTTCAGCACATCCCTTTCGACTGGGGCCATTTCTCCAACGGGTAGTATTTCTGTGAGAATACGTTCCCTTTTTAGAAACACCATGATATGAGTATTCGGGGCTCCGTGATGTTGATTGGTCGGGGTTACCATCCGTTGGAGGTTAATAGTACCCCTGCGTCACACGCGCATGCGACGTCAAGCTGGCGGTCACCCGTCCTCTTTCCTACCCACCCCCTTGCGTGCCTGTGGCTGGCTCCAGGCTTTCAGCGCGTGCCTTCGAGACAGATCGACTGACCCAGTAGGTGAGAGGAGAAGTCGACATCACAGGGAGCGTTTTACGGCTGTGGTGACGTGTGCATTGATGCATTGTTCGGCAGCATTTGGTACGGTGACGCGTGCATGATGCTTTGTTCAGCCGCTTTAATGTGCGGGCGCGGGGTGGTTGTGGCCCACGTTGTTCAGTAGCGAACTGCCGCGTACGTTTGATGCCAGCGGTTTGCTGGGTGTTAGCTTCGGGAGCGAAAGAGAGAAGTGGTCGGTCTTCGTATGCACACCCTACCCTCCTATATCACTTTAATTCCAAGTTATATCGCGTTAGCAAACCACCGTTTCGCGCCGCACCAAATCGTGATACGTGATACGTGATACGTGATACGCCAGAGTCAAAGAAGCTAATGGCGATGCACATGGCTGTCGTGCTGTTCAAGCACTGCTTCAAGCTCAACCGCCTCAGAATGTGCCAAGATTTGTCCAAGTAAGTGCGTCCGTGAGAGAAGCAAGCGACACCAGCAGCAGTGTTGGGCGTAAAGACTTCCATTAATATGTACCGGTAATTTATTCTGGAGTTATGGGCTGATGTCACCCCGCTGCTCTCTCTCTCTCTCTCTCTCTCTCTCTCTCTCTCTCTCGCTGTCGCTCTCTTGCTCTTGCTCTCGCTCTCGCTCTCGCTCTCGCTTTTTACCTATCTGTCCACATACCTTATGCGTTGTGTGCTCGAACCCAGCTCACTGTACCTACACAGATGACTTGTGTGCTGCATGCACTGCTGTGAGGCTTGCCCTTCTGCCGTTGCTGGCCTCACTATATCCCGTAGGTAACTATCAGCTTCCGATTCCTCATGCTAGCGTTGTCTGTCGACGCTGTCTGTTCCTGTCCCTCCGTCTCCGCCGCTGCCTACTGCCTACCTATGTGCCAGGAACGTACGAGGGGGGACAGGCCATGCGGAAAGCTTGGCTGCCCGCGCAGACGTGGTGGCTTTTCTCTACTACGAAGGCTTGACTTTCATGCACAACGCTGCCAACGACAAACACGAGGTGTGCACTGTACTGTACGGCGTGCGTCTGATCTTCGTCTTCACGACGGTACCGATTGGGAGACCGTTACGCGATTCAGCAGTAGCATTTGTGTTGTATTGTGTCGCCGGTGGAGAGATTTCATGCTTGGGCATAGACAGAAAGGCTGACGGCGATTGTTTGTACGAGAAGCTTCCGCTTTCATGGCGTTTAACAAGGGCAGGCCGGCAGCGCTGGTAAAGGCGAAAAGGAGCAAAGTAAAACCTTGTCGGAAAGGCGGAGGCGGAAATATGAAATTTGTCCATGAGTGACGCTTCTTCTGCAGTTAAAAATGGGGCACAGTAAGGGAGAGCCCGTGCCTACATACTCCCCATCAGCATTATCGGAGTACAATACTGCACACCTCCACCAAATCTGAAGTCGGAACGAGCTGGCTGACGTTTGCTTTGGATATATCGTCATATTAGCGTGTGCGAGCATCTTGCTTGGTTTTTGGTGATGTTCATCATTAGGCGTTCGTTCTCGTTCGTGCAAGCGATACGTATGTGGCTATCAATAGTGTCGTAGGCGTGCTTCTCCTTCATTGAGGTACTGGAGTCCAAAGGAGCGGGGGGGGTGCAAGGGAAAACATGGTGCTGGAACTGGTGCGATAGCAAGTATGCAAAGCCGAGTTCCATCCTTGATGAATACATACAACAGCTCTTGGCAAGGACGGCCGCACGTGTAGGCGGCAAAATCAGCTGGTTGTCAAGTGCGGAGCGCCATGTATGCACCACCCCGCATTGAAAAACAGCGACGCCACCGTCTGGCGGTATCCAGTGTACCAGTACGAAGCATGACAAACCACCACCACCTTTGCCTGCAGGATAAGGATATGCTGCACAACTCACGCCACAGGATCTCTCAGACCACCGCTACAATGTATGTATGAGTGATTGTTCATCCCTGCAACTCGCGGGCCCGTGCCTTAATCGTCTGTTCGCCCCTCGCAGAGGGCTAGGGCAGAGGCAACGCTAACCAGGGCTCTCAAAGAGTGCCATGTGGCGGCTACGGGAAACCGACGACGAATTCTGGTGAACCTCGTGCCCCTGAGAATGAGGATGGGTAAGCTTAAGCTCAAGCTTGTACACCCGGTGGCTTTTTGCGGTCGTTGTTGGTACCGGAGCAAAATATAACGTCACTTGACACTTTCGCATGTGAGGCTGCACTGCACCAGAGGGCATGCCGGCCGCAGAAGGTTGATCTCGCCGTTCGTTCAATTGTTGTTGTGTTGTTTGCATCTCGCATTCAACGGGTAGAATGCTCTTTCAACGGCTCTTTCGACATGACCTACAGTAGTGTGTCGTCGCTATGCTGGGCGTTTTGGATGCTCAACAGGTACATGCGGTGATCAAAGCAAACCCCCCGCGCTGTGTTGCGTACTTGAGCGTGTTTCGTCGCAAAACACTGCTGCTGGATGCACGCCTGCCCCCTCTTGTCCCCGCTGAAGAGAACCCTTACCTTCTGAGTAGCCTACAGTATTTACATGCGAACTGTACTGCACTGCTGATGTTGATGTGTGTGTATCATTCATTGTTGTTACTGGCATGGTGCGCACATTCTGTCGCCTGCACCACAGTCGCGACGTGCTCTTTCGATTGATCACACGCACCCGCAAATATCCATGCCGTGAAAGCTTCACTATTAGTGCACGCCACCGTCGCATGTTTTGCACATGTGTGCTGTAGGGCTGCATCGGTAGACAAGACCGTGCATGTGCCGGCTCTTCGCGGATCTCGGGAGGCGTTAAAGTCCGACGCCAACGTGCTCTCTGTGCCTCCACCTCCACCATGGTATAGACTGTATATATATCCGCGGCTGCCTTAGCTCCGGATATGCATCTCCTGCCAGCTCCATCGTTTATTGCTTGCGTGCTAGATTAGTGATATCTTGTTTTTTCCAAGCAAAAATTTGCACGTATGATTCGTCCTGTGCCCTGGTGTTGGCAGGATGTTTGCCGGCGCGACGCCTGCTGGAGAAGTACGACTTGCTCATATTCGATGACTTCTCCTCTGCCATACGGTGAGAGAGAGGGAAAGAGACGGTTTATCATAGTGACTCACGGGGATTGTGTACATCAGCATCTTCTCTTCGTGACCATTTTTTCTTCCCATACAGTATTAGTGTGGGATGAGACAGCGTCCTCACCTCCAGCTAGGCTGGTGATGACACCCATCGTGAAGAGTAGGTGTCGGTAAAGGATTCGAGTGCGTTATTTGACAGCACTCATCGACTCTGCCTTTCTCGACGCTATTTAAATACTACTGTACCAGGTAAACGTTTGTGGGGAGGGCGGGCGGTGGTTAAACATTTCCCCCTCTTGCCTCCTGTTTGCCGTGTCGGCACTCGGTCGCACAAAACAAGTGATGGTGAAAATGCTTTCTCTGGTAATTGTTGTCTTTGTTTGTGCACGGCCCTGGAATTGTTTGGAACATTCCAAGATCCGTTCCTCATGATGCAGGAGAGACTTAATCCCCGCGCCGGGTGCGTTCTCTGCGACTGTCCTCCGACCTTCGTGTTACGCCGACTTGCACCCAAAACCAAACCATTGTACACCACTACACCACCAGTCAGGGAAACCTCAAGCGGTTCTCTCTGCTCATGAAGCAGCACGAGCGCGCGCTCATATTGTCAGACCTTCTGCCGCATCTGGAGGGGTGTCGTCGTATGGTATTCAGGCAGGTCCTTAAACAAATGTGAGTGTGAGTGGACGGGACCGCGTACCACGTGTCTCTATGATATTGTAGCATCTCTTAAACGCGAAGGCCTTCTACTTGCTAAATAGAGATCCTCTCTGGATGGTAGAGCAGATTTGTAACGTTCCGGCTGAGTGTCACAGTCAGTAGCCCCGGCCCTTTAAACTTTAGAGGCAAAGACGCGCCGGGCGTTGTCCGTTTGGTTTGAGCGGCACGCAACAGTTCGACGCCCATTTGTTTCGATGTGTGGTTCGTGGTTCGTTTTAACGTATCTTCGAACGGAGAGACAGCAATATCATGTTGATCAGTTTCTCTGACGTGCAAGCAAGTGCGCAGGCGCTTGTAAGGGTATTTTTGTTTCCTTTGGCGCTATCATAGATTCCATGTGTCGTGGTCTTCGTTGTTGGTTGTTGTTGGTGTTTGTGTGGGTGCAGCAGGTGCTCTATGTTTAGTCATTGCTTCTCTGTCTCCTTCTCTCTCTCTGTCTCTAGCTCTGTCTCCAACGCTCCCTGCCCCGTCGCTCTCTTTTCCTTTCTTGACAGAAGGAAACAGGCCATGATTTACCTAGCATACCGGCCACGTAGGAACTTGTGTGTGTGTGGCCCATACGCCCGGTCCTACCAAGCCCGCTTCATCCCGTCCAACCATACAGCAGTACAACCCCTCCACGTACTGGGGGGGTCCCTGTTTAGTGCCGGTATGTGCCCAGAAACTATACCGGACCGGTACTATTCACAGTACTGACAATGACTTGGAAATTCAGTGTGTACCCGCCGAAAACACCGGCACTGTTCCGAGCATTGGCACTTTTCAACTGGCACTAAACAGGGACCCCCACCGTACCGTGTTCCTTCCCCACGTCCCATGTCTCACGTCCTCCATCCAGCGCCACGGCAACAGATGCCAACGTCCTTCCGTTCAGGGTGATCGTTCTCGGGCTTGTTCTGAGGGGGCACGAGTTCGACATCGACAACGATAGCTTTGATCCCCAACAGAGCGCCGAGGAGCGAGAGCTTGCCCGATGGGACGAGGTGACGTTCATACTCGCTGGCCTTATCATGGACGTGAGTAAAAGCTGATTGTCGGGAGGGGTCTAGTGGCCTTGTACGTGATCCGCTGTTGGTGTTGAGGCAGTCGTAGGCCCGATGTAGTCACCTTGTTACTGCTTTGATGCCTTGGTCTTATTCTTGCATCGATGGGTATGACTTTGGTCACACCCCGATGATCCCATTCTGCGGAGCCCCCTTGCCCCTTCTGCGGTGATAACCTTCATTCTTATCGTAAGAGAGAACTTGAGCAATGGGCTTTTTTAGTGTTGCCACGCACAGGCGCTCGCTAAACAGCTGTGTCACGGCCGAAAGTGTATTCATTGGCCTTTTGCCCAAACAAGCAATTCGACCCTTAAGTTAAGCTAGTGGTGGGCGACCCGCATTGTGTGTGTACCAGGTACGGAATATTTATGGTATGATATACGGGACGTTAACGATGAAATTTCAGCTTGGCAAGCAGTTCCGATGGTGTTGCTCGGAATGATGTCGAACAAATGAACCTAGTTGACTCGGTGAGCACCCTTCCTACAGCATATCGTCGGTCCTACATGAATATCCATCTAACTCATGGTGTTACGTGTACAATGTACAATTGTCATCGACGTTGGACGCTTGCTTGTCTCCCATCGTGCACGAAAAGGGGCTGATCAGCGGCGTTGTGAGGAGTCGCGATGCTCAGCTGCTGCTCAGCAAGAAGACCGGCTTCCCTGATTTGCCGGAAGTAACCGAAACCGGCCTTCGACCTCGACTTCGACCTCGACCTCGACCTCGACCTCCCTCTGGCCACCTCAGACCGACAAGCACCTTCAGCATTCTTCCCGTCAAGGTTTAGTTGTAGAGTGAGTTGCAGTAGTTGTCAAGAGGAACACCAGTGCGGCTGAAGGCGGCACAGTATAACAGCAGCGGTGGCAGTAAAGATTAAGATTGGCCTCGAGATTTCTCGTCGACACAACCGGGTCAGGCGCTGGTGGTGGGGGTGAATTGGCGTGACGAAGGAGGGGAGGAGGACAAGCCCGTTGTGTGCCTGCGAGTGGTTCGACACAGCATGTGCTGTTGCAGTATCGTTTGGGGGTATGTACTTGTTGTGGGGCATCTAGTTATATAATAGTTTGATTTTTAACTTCGTGACTACTGTGTAAGCACATGTATGCGTTTGTACTCATGCCACACCATCCATCGTTACTTGGGCGGTTGTTGCAAGGGCGTGGCCAGGTTGGTCGTTCGAGACTTGACTTGTGTTTTTCTTACACCTACCTCAACACCCTCAGAATGCGCGGGATGAAATACATGGAGGGAAATGGTAACGACGACTGAAGACTTAAGACTGAATAGAAGTATTTCCTTGTACTTTGTTGCACCGTGGCTTTATCACGTGCCAGATTCAATCGGGCATTTAGTAAGTCATGCAGGATGGTTCCGGAGGCATCTCTCTCTCCTCATACATTCCCGGCGTCCATGTTTTCCTTCCTTCTTTCCTTGATCCTCAGTGTGTAATTGCTCTTGCATCCACCCTTTGCGAATTGTGTTGCGTGCTGGACTATGATCATGTCCGGTACAGTAGCCAGGGTCACCGTTTCGTGTTGGTGGTGAATAGGTGTGGGAGTGAAGCGGGCACAGGAAATCGAATTTGCTAGGTGTGGGAGGGAAGCCAAGACGGCACAGGAAATCGAATTTGCAACACCGTCCGATCGCTGGTTTCTGGTCAGTACACAAGTAGTGTTGCCGAGCCTAGCAAGTAGTTTAGAGGCCAGTTGGTCTCCTGTCGGCAGGAATCAAACACCCGTCTTATGGACTCATTGTGTCTTGAGATGTTTGACACGAATCTTGACAAATACCAAGTATTGCCGAGCCTAGCAAGTTGCCGAGCCTAGCAAGTAGTTTAGAGGCCACTTGGTCTCCTGTCGGCAGGAATCAACACCCGTCTTATGGACTCATTGTGTCTTGAGATGTTTGACACGAATCTTGACAAATACCAAGTATTGCCGAGCCTAGCAAGTTGCCGAGCCTAGCAAGTAGTTTAGAGGCCACTTGGTCTCCTGTCGGCAGGAATCAACACCCGTCTTATGGACTCATTGTGTCTTGAGATGTTTGACACGAATCTTGACAAATACGAAGTATTGGTCTTGATGACAACGTGTTGCGGGTTTTCGGCTCCTACCTCAAGCTTGATGACGACTAGCGTACATCGCGTACACGTTTTTCCTTGTACACTGCACTGCACTGATGTTGCACGACGGTACTCCCCTCTGTGCGCTGCCGTGTACGTGTACTGTACTGCTGTGCACGCACGCCTGAGTTCAATCGAAATCCGTGTGGACAAACCGTCTCATGTATGCATACATGTATGGGATGTCCTTCGTGTGTGCTGCGGCCAAACGTGTCGCTTACTAGGGTGCTACACTAGTACTGCTGACTTCGCAAGCAAAACAGTGCATGACAGGTACAAGTGAATACCGCCAATCGAAATCCAACCTCTGGATTGTACGTCGAGCACCTTCCGCCCGCCATTCCGAGTTAGTCCGGCTGGCAAAAGGGTGCGTCATGCATCATGCATCATGCAACTACCCGACCAGGAGGAGAGTATTGTAACGTCCATCAGGGTTATCTCTTGGTTCTATTGAATCTTCTCAAGATCATAAGATGGCACGGTGCGGAAAAGATCGGTACTTCCAACTTTAGTGAGCGGGTAACTGCTGCCTCCCACTGCCGTTGACTGGACTGCTCTTGGTACCGATGTACCGATGCCACATGCCAAAGTGGGGCTTCCGAGAGCGGAGGTACCTAGGTAGCATACGTGTAACCAACAGCAGGTGTATTGTGTCAAGTGCTAATCGCTGCGCCGACAGCTTGATAAATTTCAACCCCACACCTGAAGGCAAGTACAACAAACTGCACTACTGTTTTCTCTAATAAGATGCGCCCGATAGCCAAACCTCGACCACCTGTAATAACCAGGAACTCGCTCAGTCTCGAGCAGAGTCGATAAATGCAAAGCAACGGCCTATGGAAACGCCAACTACCAGTTCATCACATCAACAGTCTTTGGATGACAAAAGAAGAGCAACGTTCTAAAGAGGGTTCTCCGGACCAGCGCGCCGAGACAGCTCTCGCCCATTGGTGCGTAACGGCAGGAACAAACAAATTTTATGTACCAAAATATCCCACGACACCACTAAGAGCAGCAAAAACATTTTAAGTACGTGCGGAAATGTCCCGGAACAGCCTGGTTGGTTTCGACAACGACTCCCAAAACACGACTCTCGACATGACGCCGCTCCGGTACCCCTTGTCTATCCCAACCACACGCACTATGAAACATGCGGCCGAAAACGCAATGCGGAATGCATACGACAAAAATATGGAAGGACTAACCCATCCCGTCCACACGAGCACGGGCTACTCTTGTGGGTTGTAAAACAAATAGCTGAATTTCCCTGTCATCAGCGAGACCACCTCGTTGTACTTCCTCAAGTCTGCCAGGAGGGGGCGCCGCGACATCAACGAACGAGATTGGGCGGGTGGAGCATCAGTATCACCAACAACAACGGCAACAGCAACGTCACGCACGCGCGGAAGGGACGTGCTCTGCAGCATCGACATGCCAACAAGGAGCAGATCCCGTCCAGTCTCGTGAGAGTTGCATGCTTCGCAAAGGGCACGAAAGAAGAAAGAAGGTACGTTGTGAATTCAACAATGACGAAATTCATCGCACTACGAAAATCCGACACCTAACCCCCACCCCCGGAAAAGTGTGAACAACGTTTTTTTTTTCATGAAAAAATGTTTTCGAGGCTTTCTGGGCTTTCTCCTTGCGTGTGGTGGTGATTACAGCACGACGTTCACGCTGGACCTTGTTACCGGGAAGGTGTCGAATGCTAAATCATGAAATAAGCTGTGACGGGCTGGGGACACATTTAATTTGGTTTTCAAGTACAGCGGTAGTGCTTGGGGACAACCCCCCTGACCTACAAGTACCTCAGAACTTCTCAAAGCCTCTACAAGTCCACGTTTTATTTGACCTTGGGCGAATGAACATGGCGAAACAACACAACCAAATGACACATTTGATATGCGTCAAAACGTCATCATTCCAAGCTTACTCGAGCCGGCAACATACCGAAGAGGGGCTGTCGATGAGTCTACGGCGGTGGCATCACCTTCGCCACGTGCAACACCCATCCGCAATTAATTGCAATTTTCCTTGCATTTGTACTTATTATTCACTCCCCAAAGCCCCTCCACCTCCCTCAACAAGACTAAACTGCCGTTTCTTCGAGCGCTTTCGCGTCGAGCGCCTTCGTCCTCCATCCTCCNAGGACCGCTCGAAGCAACCCCGCGGCGGACCTAAGACCCCAGAAGAGCGGTTGAAGGCCATCGAAGACGCCAAGGCTGCCCTCCGATCACGAGTCGCCCTCCGCAAGGCGTCGCAGTCAGAGCAGGCAAGCCTTGTGCCCTTCATGGAGAGAGGTCCTTCTCTTTCTCTCTCTCTCCCCCCCCCCCCCTCTCTCTCTCTCTCTCTCTCTCTCCTCTGCTACAGACGGTACCGCGGCTGGCGGGCTGCGGTACGCTGGAGCAGGGGCTACGTGGACTGTACTACCCCCATGCATGAAATGTACTTGTTTATATAGGAAATAGTGTGGCTTTTGGGGGGGGGGGATGAGAACTTCGTACCCCCCCCTTCCCCCCGGACCAAAAATAAGTTTTTGGGGTTGGGTCTCGGAAAAAAAATCGTGCGCCCTTGGCCTACATGTTGCCCGACGCCAGCTACGTAGAAACGGTTGGACAATGCTAGTATCGCGGCGAAACGATGTAGAAACGATAAGCATGACAGGCTGCCTACCAACGGTTGTTCCATGTCTCATGGTCATGCCTCTGCCGTCCCTCACCGAACATGTCCCCAAAATCCGTGGACTTGAACTCTTGCAACCTGTCTGTCTCGTGAAGGTGTCCGATCACTTCCACGTACTGACTGCGAATGTGCAAGCAAGCCACCACCACATGGGATAAGAGAGTAATAGTTGCAAGGGTTTTCAGTGTATTTGAAAGCAAGAACCAATCCAATGGGTCCACACGACGGACACGCCGCATAACCTATCTATTATCCATCAACGTGAAACTTTGCCAGCGTTGGTGGTTGTGAGTGCAGCAACAGACAGCAGTCCACGTACGTCATGATACGATATGCTTGATACCCTTACATTGACGGAGGCGCGAGTAGCTCGAAGGGAGGGTGGTCAAAGAGAGAGCCAACTCCACTCCCTCCCTACCGAGCGACGTGATGCATACATACGTAAGCCTGGTGAAAAGGCATGTGGAGAACAACTTGTGGGACTGACGCTGAAATTCTGTGTGCTGTGTCCTACCGCTGTGCTCTCGAGAGTCAGAAACCATCGAGTGGTGTCACCCACATTCTCTGTTGTACCATACCCTGCGATGTTAGCATGAAGAGCGTTACCACGAACAGGTGCACCCAGCACTCAGTGGCAACATGGTAAGTAGTCATGTTATGTGCCAACAAGTAGCAGCTGCACCGCATTCTCGACCAATGGAAAATGTAACGACATCGAACGGTTCAACGGTAAAAAACAACCAACAAGACACAGAGCATCGATCGGGGACAACAAAAAAACGTCAAGCCAGATAAGGGACAACGGACGAAACACAGCTGCAGCATTTTTTAAAGAAGGGCCTGCAGGTGTAGTTGAAAACAATAAATGAGAAGCAGCTCTTGTAGTCATGGGAGCGGCAACATCCCCTAGGAACAAAACGATGGGAGGGCGTTGAGTAGGTACGGAGTTGCTCATATGCTAGCGTACCTGGTCCATGTACTCCCTGCCGTCATTTGCACGGTAATCTTCGCCCCATCCTATGCACCCATCGCAATACGGCCGCAGTGCCAACATCGCAGAGCACCCCATGTCGGCCCGTGGCCAGCAGTCGCACGGCACAGAGAGCGACAGCGGGTATGCAAGGAGGGCAGAATCGTGTCTCATTGGACCGCGACATGAAATTCAACGTTCATGTGCACTAACTGGTACGTTCGTCTAGACGACCTTGTAGGTACGGGAGAGATATCGATAGAGAGCTCCGGACGCCTTCAGATACACAACAACAACGGGGAAAGACATGCTGATGTGATGCTGATGTGATGCTGATGTGATGCTGATGTGATGCTGATTGAGAGAAATTTCTGTGAGATGCGGCATCTGTTGGGGTGTATACTCCACGCAGAAGAGGTGGTCAGGTACGGGGCGAGGTCCAGAGACGAGAGACCGTTCGTCAAGGAGAATAATGGTTGAGGTTGGAAAACTCGAACTTCCGAATGGGTCAGAGTCTACTCACTAGCTCACTGGCTGAGACTGTTCGTTCTGTTCGTTGCCTTGTACAGTACCAGTAGTAGCAGGCGTAGCTCAAGGCCAAAGTGGAACGCAACGTTATCATTTCGGCGACCATAGAACGGCACCCGCAGGACTGCCGTCGGTAACCCTGGCCCAAAGACCAGACCTTTCAGGGGCCATCTTCAAGCGAAACCAAGACTTCAGGGGCCATGGTGAAATTAACGTACTCACGTACGGACACCATGTATGCCGACTGTCTCACAAAAAATCTACCGGAAGCCATATTTATGGTTTCTCGACCTAGTTCAATCCCACGGCACACGCCATGAGGAATCAACGACAGCACTACGGGACAAATCAAACAAGGGTAAAGAGAATGATAGGGCTTAGACCCATCTCGGTAAACGAGAGCAACATATGCGACACAGCATCATCTGCAAAAATGTTCTTCCGCAGAACCAAGTTTTTTCATACGGAATTTCACGCAGCATGTTGAAGTGTACGCGTCAATACGCATATTCGATTCATGAGCTTACATCAGGTAAAGTTGAGATCATTAAGCATTTCGATTCATGAACGCACAGCAGGTGAAGCTGAGAGCGACTCATGATGCCCTTATATCGTCATTTCATTTCAAAACCCTTCAGACCGATCAACGGCATCCACCAACCATGGGTACTGACCAGACAAGCAACAACATGAAGATCTGCCTTCATGAGATTGTCAACGTGCTTCAGGGAGCCACCCAAACGATTACCCTATCACTCGAGAAATTCGAGTATAATGAAGCCAAGCGCAGGAGGAGGACTCTCCGCCACGTCCTCTACTCAGACTCTGAGCTTGAAAGGGACCTCGGCAGCTTCTCCTCTGGCAAGTTCTATTCCAACAATCCGGAGACCGATCTGATCGAACTTGGTTCGGTTCCGCTGGCGGTTGGACCCCTTTCCTCGTCATTCGGCAAAGAGATCTACTCGTCTAGCGTTCCATCTTTCAGCAGCCTCATCCCGCAGAGCAACGAGCTACTATTATATATACCCTAGGTCGCCTGTGTTGGACTACAAGCCGCAACCTTTTCGGCGACAGAAGCGGAAAAGGAGGTGGAGGAGATGCAAGACACCGCCCTGGACGATTCAGAGAGTGCGGAAATGACCAACATCATCACCTCTTCGAGTGATGAGTCGCTGTCAGTCACTGACAGCGGGCGGAAATGACGAACATCATCACTCGAAGAGGTTATGATGTTCGTCATTTCCGCCCTCTCTGAATTGTCCAGGGCGGTGTCTTGCATCTCGCTGTCAGTGACTGACAGCGACTCATCACTCGAAGAGGTGATGATGTTCGTCATTTCCGCACTCTCTGAATCGTCCAGGGCGGTGTCTTGCATCTCCTCCTCCACCTCCTTGTCCACTTCTGTCGCCGAAAAGGTTGCGGCTTGTAGTCCAACACAGGCGACCTAGGGTATATATAATAGTAGCTCGTTGCTCTGCGGGATGAGGCTGCTGAAAGATGGAACGCTAGACGAGTAGATCTCTTTGCCGAATGACGAGGAAAGGGGTCCAACCGCCAGCGGAACCGAACCAAGTTCGATCTGATCGGTCTCCGGATTGTTGGAATAGATTCAGACTGGGAGAGGGCCCACCAAGCCCTCCAAGGGCGAGAGCTTGTCTGTGGTCGTACCGATGTAACAGTCTTAACTATTTAGGGAGCAGAACTGGGGGTGTTTTAGTCGTATCGTGTTTTTGGTTCCCAAGTCGAAGTAAATCGATTCTTGCGCCACGCACGAGTTTTTGCAGCACCAGAATTTTGGTGACGACACTCTTCCCAACAGTACTCTCATTCATGGACTCTTTACGTTCACTAGCATGCGAAGAGGACATGGCAAAAGTGATTAAGAACAGCGTCTGGACTTTCTTGACTCCATGCTGGATCGTAGCCGAAACGCTCGCAGCTCAACCAGGCTTCAACTACGATCTTTGCGAGGGGCTCCGTGAAATCATCACCTCGCGCATCGCGGTTGTACGAGACAAGCCCATAAATACAAACCATATCAAGAACCGAAGACAGATCAACTTCGACAAGTTTTGCTCATACTGATAGGGTACTGACCATACGAGTTTTTTCGGGAAGAGGAGCAGGCTGATGAGGAGGAGCTCTAAAAAAGTAGCTTAGTGGGGTTGGGAATGTGACTGGCCCCGGAGCGCTGCTACTTTGGAGTCCTCGCCGACTCCTGACTGAGTGTGCATACGAGTTGCTTTGTTTCGAAATTTCAGAATGCTGTAGACTGCTGCATACGCATCGGGCACGAAACAACAGCAGCAGTAGCAGCGAGTTAGCAAGCTGACTTCTTGAACATTTTCGTTCAAGACCCATACGAATTGTAAACACCATTCCCTGATCAAACGGGAATTGGTTGAAAACGACTGATTTTTGTTGGGAACAGTAGCGTGAGGTTCTACTATGCCTCAACAACACGCGAAATTATTCTCTAGTGAATTTCACATGTACGCAGCAGTAAGGTTACGCTGCACCAATTTCTAAATTTCACACCAAAGGCAGCAGTTGGATTCCGCTGCACGCATTCGAATTTCGTATGTGTTCGTTCGATGATTGACTGCGCTCTAACTCCCACAATCGAGGAAGTGTTGAAATTTTGAGTGTTCAGGCCACTGTAAATAATTACCAACTGCCCTAACTCTGCATTTCTCTTGCGATTTCGTAGTGTAATGTTTCTATACTATACTCAACGTAAGAACGGTTCCCAATGTTTCCGGAGTAGCACGAGAATGGTACTATAATAGTACATGTACCAGGAATGGTATTTAAGTTGTTGGAACGCTTCTGGACAAGTCTGTTGAGTATATTGCACCTACGTCAGTAGGTACCGACGGACGAGTAGATGATGGCAGACAGAGCGAGCACCCGCCTACTGGGCTATAGTCTAACTCTGTTTCCTGCCCGCAACAACCAAAAAAAAAAAAAAAAAAGTCAACCATATTTTTCTCTCAACTCTCTGACTGACACATTAAGTCGGTCCCGCAGACTAACCTCTACAGTGCTCACTCTGCACACTCGTCACACTATGGTGACATACATAGCTATTTGTTATTTGTCTCGTTCATGTACGCATCTCTTGGTTTTCTGATTGCTACAGCAGCAGCACCTGCTACCAGACAGACTACTTTTCAGCGTCCGAGAGACAACACATTTTTTTATCGTAGTGCTTGGGACTTGTTCACGACCATCGCGTCTCTACAGACCCTTGACCTCTGATATCATCTCAGATTCACTCAGAGACACGCCACAGACTGGGAAGGGACTGCGAAAAACAAGCATTCTACCCCTCTCGGGACAAAAAAAAAGAGTTACATGCAAGCACCGCGGGATGAACGGCAGGGAATTCCTCCTGTGTGACCCCGGCTGGCGCGCCAAACATATACTCCTACGTACTACCGAACGTGTGTACAGCAGTGGACTGGCGCACGTTCATGCTTATGACGAAAAAACAAGACGTCGGCTCGAACGAGGAAGGCACGAACAGCGTGTGCCACTACTGCTGTACCAAGTAATTTACGGTATCTACAGCAGTACATCAGCAGCGCAATAGTTTTTTCACCTCACCGATGTCTCGAGTTGTGCCTCTGAATCTCCCTCTTGGTAGGACAAGACCTTCCCCACCACGCACACCGTGTTGCCCAGGAACTGGCTCAGCACTGCCCCATTCACGCGAGGTGTCTGGAACTCCTGTTCCGCCAACCCGTCGTACCGTACCGTGATACGTATTGTGATGTAGCAAAGTTTGACGGCGAAACAGGCACACAAAATCGCGAATGGAGTGCAAATGTTCGGAGTAATTCACGATTGTATCAACATCTTGTTTCTCCTAATAATCTTCCCCCAAACGCAGCAGTGTAGACAACCAATACTTTCCTTACTCACGGCACCGTTGATGTTACGTCAATGTTTACGTGGAATGGCACAAGGTGTGTAGTGTAGTGTGTACGCTGACTTGTTTGATACCCTTACGGTTGCCAGGTGATGGTCTTACTGCTGATTTGTCTGACACCGTTCACGAGTGCAAGGCCACCCCTCCGGCCTGCTCAGATTGCATGTCATTCATCACAGCTCCGAGTTCGCCACGAGCTTGGAGGGTCAGTCAGTATTGACGCCTGTCTATGTAACAAAGATCCAAATGTCTAGGCGACTGCCAACGGCTTCCCGTCGGTAGGGGGAGGAGGACGAGATAGGACAAAGATGCCTTGCTTGTACGAAGTATCCAAGGACATGCACTTATATTTGCTGTACTTCACGTGGGCCAGAAGGAGGACAGGAGAGAGCGGGCGGGCGGGAAGAGATTTCAAATTCAAAAACAACCGCAAAATTCAACTATGAGTAAGTATAGATCAAGACGTTGTTTCGCGGTGGGTGATTCCAGAGCAACTAACCAACCCATACGATGCATGCGACCTAGCCTGGTCCCGCATGCAGGGATTTCTTACCGCCATGTTGTCGGTGCAGAAGGGAGGGAAGGTGAAGGGTGAAAGCCTAGTGTGGTCCTCTTCGAAGATACCAAGACTCAATCAAGATGAGATTTGTTGGTGCCGGTGTCTCGAAATGTAACACCGGATGCCGTTTGATCTCTCCTGAACACGCACACGTACAGCAGCTTCTTGCGATTGTCCTGATGGCGCACAAAAAGAAGTGTCCTGATGTGTGAGGAGACAGCAGATAGACAACCACACCACATAAGCCCACGCTGAGGGCGTGGGGGGGGCCGCAATAGGCATTCATTTGAATTCCTAATACCCCGGTGAGTAGTTCTGCAGCAGCGTAGCCCCAAGTCGAATGACGCCGAGTAATCAAGAGCCGTTGCACAGCACAGCACAGCAGTGCTTATGCCACAGGTTTCCAGTGCGGGTCAGTTCCGTGCGTGTCCCTATGCTGGGTATCTTCCGCTCGCCGTCTCCGTATGCATTCGCATTCGGAGTGCCTCGATTTCTCACGTCATGCGCATTGCAGCGCGGCGTTCGAAGTAGTGGCAGTTTTCAAATTCGCCAACCAGAGCGAAGCATGTGCTTGTGGGCAGCGGCAACACAGGCGGCGCCACGCCGGGCGGACAAGCCAGCTGCAGCAGCAGGGGTAGAAGAGGACGATGTAGAAGGGTTCGAGAACGAGCTGGACGCGATGGTGGTGGAAGGCGATGTTGACGATGCGACACCAGAAGAACGTCCTTCGTCTCCGAGAAGACTCAGGTACGTTCTTTCTCATATCATAGCATACATACATGATACATATATACCGTATATAACACAAGATAACACACCCCCTGGACCAATTTTCAATTTTCAAAGCTCGAGTACGCCACGACGAAGAGGATACATAAATGAAGCAATACAGTTTCGGAAAGCTCTCGACGAGACAACTTCACCGCCACCGTTTTCGGCGCTGTGGCTCTTTCTGCTGTTGAGAAATCGAGGTGTCAAAATCGGTCCTGGGGTGTTCTATCTTGTGTCATTTACGGTAGTCGGCCATGCGCTGGCTGTACCCGACGAGGAGAGATTACGGTACAGAGAGGATGTCTTCTGCCGGAGATGTCGACAACAGCGCTGAAAAAACTCTCGCGTACCATGTTTATCTGCTGAAGTATTTCCTGTGCAGTGTATGTTATCACCGGTCTTCAATGTATGCATTCATTCACAGAGTACACGACCCCAAGGTAAACACACCTCATGGACCTATTTTCAAAGCTCGACTACAGCAGTACGCCACGACGAAGAGGATGCATAAATGAAAGGGTAAAATACGTTGTCGGAAAGCTCTCGACGAGACTGCTTCAACGCCACCGTTTTCAGCGCTGTGACTCTGTCTGCTATTGAGAAATCGATATTCGAAAATTGGTCCGATGGGTGTGTCATGTTGCGTAGTACACAGTACACACGGGCTTGCCAGGGGGCAACACTTGAGGCGCGGTGTAACCTGAGGGGCTAATGAAACTGGTGCTCTGGTACTTTTGTTTGGCGTGGAACTAAACACAGTACAATCACCCGGGGGTCTTGGAAAAGAACGTTTCATCCTCCTCGTGTGAGGGAGGCCCTTGAAAAAAAAATGCGTGTCCAAAATTGGATATTGATTTTTGAGTTCGGGTTGGCTTACGGTAATACACAGCGCACAGCGCACAAGTGGGGGGATTCGAAATCAAAATCAACCCAAGATGAAAACAAGGCCCGAACATGCCCGTTGCAATGATTCAAACCATGACCAAGAGAGCCACACGGCATCCACGACCGCGACCGATAGCGCCCCGTCAAACGGCCATGATCAGGCGCAATGAGGAATCTTGGTCTCGCATCGATACGCTGCGAACTCAGCGAGCAATGTGTGACGGAAAGCTGCGTGCTGCTGTAGGACAAGCGAAGAACCTGCGCTTGAATTGCGTTGACAACTGAAATGGTTTCACGGCGATAATTACATCGCTCAACTTCGAGCAGATCTCCCTCAAAGAAAGTATACTGTGCTCTACTGGATGTCAGCTTTCGACCAAGGTATTTTTTTCTTGCATCGCCAAGCAGTCTGTATTACCGTAAATAACACAATATAAGAAACCCCGGTGGTAACATTTTGGGGTTTGAAAATATTACCACCCGGTCTGCTATACTGTGGGGGGTGTGATATATAAGGGGGTGTCATAGCGCGTCCGAACACCCACAGCGTGTGTTTGGGGGTGTCATAACAAACGAACAGCTACAGCGTGTGTTTTGGGGTGTGATAAAATAAGGGGTGTGATACCGATACACTGCACACCATTACCGTATAGAGTCGAACCGCTGCTGCCGTACACCTGAAAGGGTGTGGTATTGCGGAGGTGTGATAGGTATACATGCCTGCACCAACACGTGTAGTGTATTTAGGGACCTACGGTACCTAAAGGGGCGCGGGACAAAAAACAAAGTGGCTCAACCGAGGTGAGGGAACGCCTGAGCACATGGCCTCGGCGAGATCAACCTTCTCAACGCAAAAAAAGTTGGAAACACGATACGGGCTTGAATGGAGCAAGAAAGTATTGTAAGTCGAAGGTATCTCGCCCAATACGATGATTGGCGGTGGGCACAGAGTGCGCCATCCTTTCTGCCCCCCTCACAAAAGGTTGGCTGCTGCGTGCCTTGCTTTGGGTACGAACCAAAGAGAGTTACCTAGGTACCTATACCGGTACGTAAGAACACCACGAACAAGAATCAACGACCGCAAACCGCAAACCAACGAAACACCAACAACGTTGCACTCCACGCGGCGAAGAAAACAGGCGACTTTTTCTTCACACTCGCTCAAAGACGCCCGACGGCAGAGAAAGATACGCCAGGAAAAACCCAAGGAAACATGAGAAGACACCACAAGCCATTTTCTCAACACTAGCATCGCTGCCGATGCCTCACAGCTCCCCGCCCTCGTCGTCGCTCACGTCCACCACCACCACACCCGTCTCGTCGTCATCGTCGATGTCCAACACCTCCAGCAAGTTCTCGTTCTTGCCTCCTGACGGCGGGTCAGCCTTGTCCGCAGCGTCCGATGGCCCGCGGATGGGCTCCCCCTTGGCGTTGGAATCGAGCTCCTTGTTGGCCCAGGCCTCGTCTCCCGACCCGTCGTAGGGCAGCAGCAGGCCAGCCTTCCTCCAGCTCGAGCGGATTTCGTCCGCGGTCAAGGCATCCCACGCCTTCTTGACCCACTGTGCGACCAAGCCCCGCGAAGGGGGCTCCGGATAGCCCCGCTCGTTGCGCGTGACGTCTTTGGAAGCCATGTGGTCGTCGTAGAGCTTGGACATGTTTGCCTTGAAGATCTTGTTGACCAGGCCATCGCAAGGCTGGAGCTTTGGAGTCAGGCCTCCCGGGATGAGGAACAGCGTCGTGTTGGACTCCTTCATCGCCTTGGTAGACGCGTCCGTCTTGTGGACGGTGTAGTCGTCCCACGCAAGAAGCGTGTCAGGCTGACGGTAGCCGCCCAGGCGGCCGAGCCGCCCCGGGCGCCGGTTCCACACCTGCGGCACCCACACCTCGTCGAACACCCGCTGGGAGTGCCATCCCTTGGGGTCCACGGCGTAGGCCATACCTCGCGGGTACGCGCAGCCCTTCTTGTCCCTGTAGTCTTTGAACTCGCGCTCGATGCTGTTGGCGGCGGGGGACTTCCCCTTCGGAGTGGGCTGACCCTTGAAGATGAGAAGGGGCTGCAGCTTGGTGCCGTCGGCGAACACCGTCAGAACCGATGTGATGCGCATCTTCTCCTTGCCGCCGGTTTTGACGGAAATCTCCTTGTCGCCTGTGGCCTGCGGTATTCCGAACAGCGAAACCGACATCAACGTGGGGTGCGTCGAAACGACTTTTGTTGTAAAGATTCGGAAAGTGGCAGCAGTGCGTGCAAAAACACATGATCAGAATCACAGGAGAACAGGAAACGAAGGAAAAGACGAAAATTTCGCACACGTAGAAAGTTCATCATCAAAAGGGTGGCCCAAAAGAATCGTTGGCACAGGAAAGGACAACATTGCTACATCTAACGCAGTAAGAGCAAAAACTAGAGCAAAACTATTACGTACGTACTCACGTTCACAGTGTCCTTCCCCGGGCTCTCGAACCACGTGGGGGTTTCGTCCATGTTGCCGATCTGCGCCAAGTCGAACTTGAGACGCGGACCCGAAGGAATCACAGCGCCACTCCCACCCCCGCTGCCGCTCGCGCTGGCTCCCGCCCCTGCCGCAACCCCCAGGCACTCGACTCCGTCCGCAAGTTCGAGCGCGGAAGGCACGTCGTACTTCAGCGTCCTCCACTCCTTGATAGCCTGCATGGCGATCACGGGCCAGCCAGAAGGAAGTTTCTGGCCTTGTCGGGTGACCGCTCGCACAGAGAAGCGGTAGACCCTGAGAAACCTCCTGCACCACTGGTTCTGCCTGTTGTTGTACTTCTGGCAGCCCTGGAGATCGGATGGCGCCGGCCTCTCTCCGAAGAAGTTCGGGTTGAGTTCGACGGCCTTGTTCTTGAGCATTTTCGTCGAAACACGGGCGGAGATGCCTTCAGAACGCAGCTCGTTGATCCAGTCCACGATCTCGCCCTCGGCCGCTGTGTGCGTCCGGATCCGTCCGGCATGCAGCGACAAGCGCTTGTTGGCTGGCGTCTTCTTGCGCTTCGCTCCGCCCTTGTACGTGTCCATTTTCGCCAGCGCGGCTTCGTACTTGTCGATCTCCTTGACCCACAACGCCAACGTCGATTTGTCGCGAATGCCCAGGACTCTGCTCGCGTAGGTTATCCCAACAGTCCCGTCCGGCCCTTGTGCCCCCTTGACCCTCCTCTGTGAGTACCTCACCGCATCCACCTTAAATTTCAGAGGGTAGCGCTTCCGTTGGCTTCCGCCACCAAACTCGGGGATCGGGAAGCCCGGCGGCTCCAACTCCAGCTGTCCTTTCTTCCTCTTGTTCTTGTTCTCTGCCGGCGTACCGAAGAGAACGCCGCCGAGCCCATCTCCCCGCTCTGTTTCTCCGGGAAACATCATGTCGCCGGATGCATCACCTTTGGCCACCGGCGCTCCTCCCGCTGCCGGCGTTGCTGCTGCCGGTGCTGGAGCGGGCGCCGGTGCTGAAGCGGGCGCCGGTGCTGAAGCTGGCGCCGATGCTTGACCTGGCGCCGGTGCTGAAGCTGGCGCCAGTGCTGGGACGGGCGCCGGTGCTGGAGCTGGCGCCGATGCTGGAGCTGGCA